CACTTGATTCTGTATAGAATATCCTTTAAGTGGCAGGTAAGGCCACAGAGTGACAGCAGCTGCCGATTTATTGTTAACCTCTTAGACCTGCTATACTATATAGCTAGTCTAATCCCTTTTGTACATGCTTTATGCTGCTTACGGAGCTGGTTGACGGACAAATCTAAGGGTAATAAACAGAGTTTCGGATCTCCAGGAGTAAATCACCTAATTTGTTGTTGTTCACATTAGCAGCCTGCCGAGTTTCTGTTCTCTGTGTTTCAGGAGGTGGAAAGGAGCTGGGATTTCAGTGTCTTTGATGTGAATTATGAGGATAACTTTCTCCATAATCCCCATAGCTACAGAGTGAGGACTTTTAAAGAGCCTTACTACTTGTTCACAATATGTTGATATTGAAATGTGCAGAGTCCAGGCACTGAAAACCATAAACTGTTAAATATCTTTAGACGTTTTTGTGGGGTAAAAAAAACAAGTACAACAAAGAAAAGTGCAAGAAAATGTTTATTAAAGCAAAATATATATTTCATATACTTACAAACAAACAAACAAACACACCTCAGTTCATGCATTTCAACAACACAACTACCTATTGGAGATCATTTCTCAATATTGTATTCTGATGTAGTCACGATATATATGTAGGGTTGCAACCAACGAATCGATTATGAGAACAGTTGTCAACTATTCTCATTATCGATTAGTTAGTTGGATCCCCTAGCTCTCTCCTCCATGCTGGGAGATGGGCACAGCAAATAGGGAGCAGATGCAATAGCCAGCTTGCTATTGCAATTTGAAATGGCCAATGGCAGGCTGGCTATTGCACCAGCCCACTACCTGCTGTCATTCAGCTGCCGTCTGCGGAATCTTGCCACCGGCAGCTGTCATTCCCGGGCTGAAGCTATGCAAGCGCAATGTGCTTACAATACAATTATTTAAAAAAAAATTATTTAAAAAAGTCATTTTCGGGAAAAAGTCATTTTCGGTTTCTGCCTGACAAATTCTGATGCGGGAGGTGCATTGCAGTGCCATTCATTTCAATGGCACACAAAACACGGCTCCCACCCGCAGTGTAATCGCTCACACTGGAACGCATGGTAACGCAATGCTGTGCGTTCCAGTGCAGTGCGATTGCAAAAATTTGCGCATGCAGGTTTATTCTGAAGAAAACTTTATGTTTTTGTCTATTTTATTTTAAATTAAGGATGGTATTTACATTTTTTTTAACGATTAATTGAAAAAAATAATGAGCCAACGAATGGATTATGAAATAATGATTAGCTGCGGCCCTAGATATGTAAGGATAATATACAGCATATTACTCCCTTATTTTAGATTTACATGCAAAATAAACTCAACACCTAAAATGCCAGTGACAGTTGTTGGGATAAACTATAACAATGTTATGGGTGCTTACAACTATCACGTTTCATTCTCTTGGTTTAAACTAGGGCTCTCCAAAGTGGTCAATGTGGCTATCCAAGGGGTTTAGGTGGTCAGTAAATGATGGAAGGTGGATCAGGGTCAATTCAACTTGAGTTCTACTTAGAGCTCCATGCCACTCCCTAGTCCTGGAGGTGAAGTGGCTAGCGATGGAACAACCCAGGCCTAGATGGTCAGCTGCCAGTGAACGTGGCCTTGAAATGTCTCTATGATCTTTGTGTTGTTACTGGCCTCATTTACATGCGTTCTATGCATTGTATATGTCTGAGACCTTCCACCATCCCCTTCTGAGGATACACACATGAGTTCCCATCAATACTCAGTGAGTACACCCATAGTGATAGCAGTGATGCCAAAGAAATTATTATTGTGCTTTTATTAAAAAAATAATAATGGCAGCTGCTGACACCAAGAGGAAGTGTCAACAGTGTTTACATGAATATTGAAAATATGGATTCTAGAGCTGCAGCTAACGATTATTTTCAAAATCGATTAGTTAGCCGATTATTAAGTTCGATTAATCGGTTAATCGGATAAACTATAAAATAAAGTTTAAAAAATGGCTCCAGTGATGGACTACTAGTTTGTATTGAGGTTGTAGTCCATCACAGGAGCAAGCTTGGACCGGTGGAAGGAAAAAAGAAAAAAAAAAAAGATAGTGTGGTGTGCAATATAGTGAAATGGAAAGTGTAAAATTATACAGCAATGCATGCAGAATGGCACCGGCTATAGAGGACTACAAAACCCAGCAAAAGCACATTATACAGCACAATGCAGAATACCGCCAATTATAGAGGAATACAACAAATCCCAGCAATAGTACATAATAGCTGGCGGCATTCTGCATTGCGCTGTATAATGTACTATTGCTGGGTTTTGTAGTCCTCTATAGCTGGTGGTATTTAGCATTGTACCACTTTATAATGCATTATTGCTGGGATTTGTTGTACACTTCTACAGCTGGTGGTATTCTGCATTGCGCTGTATATATGTATTATTGCTGGGACTTGTAGTCCTCTATAAAGCGCAATGCAGAATATCACCAGCTATAGAGGAGTACAACAAATCCCAGCAATACATTATACATACAGTGTATAATGTATTGCTGGGATTTGTATTCCTATGTATAATATACAGCACAATGTACCATCAGTTACAGAGGAATACAAATCCCAGCAATACATTATAGAGCACCATGTGTGGGAAAGTGCAGTCTTCCAGCAACGCGCTTCTGAGATCGTACCTGTCTATCAGCAGCTGTCATCCCCCCACACCTGCTCCTCCTTACTACATCTCCCCGCGTCCCTGTGCCGATCGTGGATGTGAATGGGCAGGAAATGTGAGGCATGTGGAGCGTGGATGCGAGCGGGTCTGGCAGTGGCGAGCGTGAGGTGGGGAGGAGGTGCGGCGCACAGCGTGTGGAGCCGTGAACAGGGCCAACTGATCGGAAGCCGATTAATCGATTATTGAAAAAGTTGACAACTTTTTCAATAATCGATTATAATCGATTATGTCGATTAGTTGTTGCAGCCCTAATGGATTCATCACTTTTTACCAATGAAACAATGTCTATGTGCCGGTTATGAGACTTATAGTACTGAAGCCATGAAGCCGGCAATATTATGTTCTATTTTCATATAATAAATGTATGAAGCTCAATGAACAATCTGAAACCTCATTAAGGAGTCAATGAGCTGAAGATTTTGGGGACTCAATACAGAAGTTGTAGCAACATTTTGTAAGATGATCTATTCCAATTCCTGTCACTTTAGTGTGCCTTTGTCTACATCCCGCCCAGCTAACTGATGTTACTGGTTGCCAGAAGCTTGGCGAGACGATGGCCGGAGCGACCCGCTCGTCTCCTGGCCACCGGTGACATCAGTGAGCTCGGTGGGAAGCTGCACAGAGCGTCAAAAGAGCTTATAGCAACCTGGGATACTGTGGCTGCTCCCCCTGCCCCCTTCCAATGAGGAGCCACCTGGGGTCTTATTATAGGGACGGCCCTGAGCTTATATTTATGCTGGCAATCCCAATTCTTTTTTTATGCTTCTTTTCCTCTTTTATAATAGATTTTGCTGAGAGAAATCAAATGTGGTATAAGTCATTTTTACACACAAATGCGGAAGCGCTGGACTGAGCTGTAATAGCAGTGATCTCTAGCAGTCTCATGTAATGTGTCTCCAGTCTATGTCTTTCTCCTGAAGCATGTACCCAGACTCCAACAACTCTTATAGCATGCCTGTAGTCTCTGACCATCTCTGACCACTTGAGGCTCTCTATATATAAAGTTGGTTCACCATTTGTGTACATGTAATGGTGCAGGTAAATATAAATGAGGGCCTATGAAATAGAAGAAGAAAGGAATATACTGCATACAATTCTAACATGTATTAACACAACACAGTTATAAGAATACGTGTTTCACAAAAGAAGTCCTTTAACCCTTTTGCTGCCGAAGCCATTTGGGCATTTTTTTGCACACATGTTAAAATCCACATTTTAGACCTGAGAATTACTTAACCACTTCCAGCGGGGTCACGTAAATGTACGTCATCCACTGGAAGTGGTTATACCAAGAACACGGCTGCTGCTGCAACTAGCATCTTTTTATTCTACAGGGCCTCTGCTTTCAGAAAATATATCATTGTTTGGAGGTCTGAAGCTGTTTTCTAGCCAAAAATTCTGATTTTATCATGTGTGTGCAAATGTAAGAAATTGCTCCGGGCACCAAGTGGCTATAACTCCCCAGAATTCTATATTTCCTGAAAGCACAGACCATGTAGAATACAATTTTGAGGATATTAGTGCAACTCCTTCAAACACAAAATTTTAGTTAAAAAAATAGACTTAAGTTAATTTAAGTGCACAAAACACAGTATAATATCCATTTTTTAAATAAATATAAAAGATTTGGTTTTGTCAAGCAAACACATACCCAATATGCCAAACCTAAAAATTGTATGTGCATGTGAAATGGCAAAAAACGACGGTACCCCAAATTGTCCATTGGGGCTATTTTTTAAAAGGAGAGGATTAATCAATCCTCTGAGCCGTTCTCTTGTGTGTGTAAATTGCAGCTCTGTAAACATAAGCTTTATGTCTAGCCTGATAAACATGTGAAAAGGAACCAGGAGCTCCACCTGCTGGCTGGAAATAGAAATATGAACTATTTAGATGCAATTGGATTTCATATATACCTAACTGAAAAAAGGATTTTTTAAAATTATATTTAAGTTATGCCAAAAAATATAAACAAATCCCAATATATTTCCCTACGTTGCTTGCTGTACAGAGTCAGTGTTCGTTTGATTGGTATGCATTTCTCATAGGTTTACTCTAATGATAATCTTTGTAACACAATACAGCAACCCACATGGAGAGCTTAAATGCCATGCACTCAGATGTATAACTACTTGTTGGCAATCACCTCATTTAGTAATCAGCTGAAATCAAAGTACAACAACTGAGGTGACTGCCAATGAGAAGTTAAATTGCTCAGTAGCAAGATATATAACATTGCCCATGTAACTAGTGATGAACCATCTGAGCCTCACACATATATTTCTAGTACCTCTGCCCACACTAGCAGCACCCTATGAAATGTTTTTTTATCTGTATGTCAGGAAGACAGATAGCTTTGGAAGAGATCTGCGCCAGCAGCTGAAATGTCTGGCTTTTCAAATTTAACTGGATTGTTTTCAAGGTCAAAGTACTGAAGAGTGTGAAAAGCAGTGGGTCCACCATGATCCAATGGCTTGTGTGAGATTTTATATTTTTCATGGCGTAACCTGTGGAATACAGCAATATAGATGAATGATCATTTCTCATTTCTTATAGTAAAGATTAGCAGCTTTTATACTTTACAAAAGGTCATGTGGCAGAATAAAGTGCAATTTAACAAACAATATTGCTTATTTGCTCATTTTTTTCCTTAAAAAGAGTTTGTCTCTTCCGTTACCTGTCTACTAGTATATTTTTTGTTTGTGTACACTGCCTGCACATGGTAAGTGTAATGTACTTCTGGCATCTATACGATGACAAGGATGAAGCAGAGTGTAAGATTTATGTAACTCCTAAAGATACATCAGTGGCCACCCGACGGTGAAAGAGAAACAAAAGTCCCCACCTGGATTTTCGGCCAGTGTATGATCTGAAGTTGCTTCAGCAGGTCAGGTCTAGGTTCAGCAATGTTATGTCCCCAAAAAATTAGGTCAGCTGTCTACCTGAATATACTGAATGACCATCAATGGATGTTTTCTTCCCTGATGGCACGTTGGACATATTCCAAGATGACAATGTCAGGTGTCATCGGGCTCAAATGGTGAAAGATTGGTTCAGGGAGCATGAGACATCATTGTCACATATGGATTGGCCACCACAGAGTCCAGACCTTAACCCCATTAAGAATCTTTGGGATGTGCTGGAGAAGACTTTACACAGTGCTCCGACTCTCCCATCATCACTATCAGATCTTGGTGAAAAATTAATGCAACTCTGGATGGATGTTGTGACATTTCATAAGCTTATCAAAATGATGCTACGGAGAATGTCTGCTGAAATCAAAGCTAAAGGCGATCCGACAAAATATTAGAATGTGTGACTTTTTTGGGCCATGCAATCTATAAGCATATATATGAACAGTACAAGCAGGTTGCTCCTTTACTTGTATTCAGCAAGACAGCAAATAAACAGTCCATAGTATAAAACAAACAAAACATATGCATTGTCCAAGCCACTTAAGTAAGTTCCTGACTAGGGATGGGCTGGATGTTCGACTCGAACATCGCTAGTTCGTGTGTGCGCCAAACACATGAACTATCAGGGCGTTCAGCAATGCCCACAGGGCAGGTGCAAGACTTTGCCCAATCAGGGCACAGATAACTGTGAGAGCCATGATTGGGCAAAGTCATGATGACATTGCCCAATCATGGCTCACCTGTTGGATGACATAAAACTGTACACAGTTGGGCGGAGCAAGCTGTCACCGCTAGCTCCACCCAATTGTTTATGTTTTGCCGGCATCTGTCAAAATGCCATTCTGCGGCGGGCGTACATTGCGAGCGGATAAGACGGCGGTCTTCGTTTTTAAAATTTTAAAAAACATTTCAAATTTTTTTTTGTCACGTCTTCGTTGTTGTGGACAACGCTGGACGTCGTGATTGACCCTGGATTACGTTGGTGCATCAATTGTTTGGGGGTTTTTTAACAATAAAGGACTTGTCAAAATCCTTTTTTTTTTTAATTAAAGGATTTTTTCCAAAAGTCTGTTTTACATTTTTTTTTTAACCCTTTAGTGAATGGGTAGAGGTACAAGTACCCCTTACTCATTCACAAGGGGGATGCATCTGGCATAAAGGCCTGTGGACAGCTGAGGTTAATCATGATATCTAGCTAAAAGGTTAGATGTGTGGACCTAGGAATGAAGACTTTATCCCTCTGAAAGCTCTACAAAGCCCTAAAAAACAAAAAGCTTTTTCCTCAGCCATAAATTCTGGAGCCCCTCGCCATGTGTATGTGTGAGAAAGCTAGGTGACACATGCACACCCTCCAAATCCTGCCAGCCGGCTAGTGGGGAAGGGTGTGTGAAAACCAGATTTCTTTTTTAACAATTGAATATATTAGAATCTGTTAATCTTACTCCCTTTTGTCCATAGAATTATAACCACCTTCATATGGGCCACACTGGGGCTGGAGATGCCTTGCTTCCAAGATGTGGTAATGGGGTGCGTGGTAATACATGGCCATCCCATTGCTTTGATTAGTGTATGCATTTAATCGTCATTTGGATGAATACATTATAATAGGAATACATGTAATTCAGTAAATAGATATTATACATCTGGGATTTATATGTTACCTTTATACAAGTGTATTGCAGTAATTGAAGAGTGAACAACATCCAAGCGGTTTAACTGGTGAAGGATAAGATGAGTTGGGTGTTATGACTCACCTCTGTCTCATGCTCTTCTTTCAAGAACTTATGTTTCTGGTCCTCCTCCAGCCACTTTAGCTGTGTGTAGGAGTTCCTGTACACTTCATATATAGGCTCTAACAGACCTGACATTCATTGTCAGAAAAAGCTGAGAACGCATATATTGTAACCTTCAAATAGTTTCAGCAAAATTCAATGAGGAAAATTGAATGGAACTCTCTTGTACTTTGTGATTAATCATTCTTTTGCTTCATAATAAAATTCAATTTCTAGTCTTGTACTGCTGTCAGTGTTAGACTGTTGCTTTAACTAGTGTGGCAGTATGCGTAATGTATAAATATAAGAGTTACCAGAACCAAAGACAAACTTCTCACCATTTTCCATGTATGTGGCTTCGTTTCTGTCTGGTAATTTCTTCTTGAATATCATCTTCTGTGACAGTGAGCTGTACGGGTTTCAGAAAGTAGTTTGCTTCATTCTGTTATATTATAAAATGCCGCACATCATACATAAGAAATACACTTGTAACGTTGAAGCAAGCACATTTTATTGAAAGAATCCAAATTATTTTTACATTCTTTGCAATATGGAAGATGTTTCACCCGTGATTCCTTTATGAGCACTCTTCTTCCTCCGCATGTCTTAGCTGAGTAAGTATGAATCAGGTATAGAAAAGTTCTGCAGCAGGTAGGAGGTCTCCTTTCTGTGTTCATGCCACAATACAAGCTGCTGAAAGCTCTTCCAGCAACAGATGATATCACTACAGCCTTTTCTTCTAAGTTTCCAGTTATTATGTCTGCGTCAACACTGCTAAGTTTTTCTTTTTTACCATCTTTTATGTTTGTTGTATTTATTTCTATTTTCTGTGTATTAGCTGTTCTATTATAAATCAACTCCTAACTTTCCAGACATTTAGACACAGCATGTCTCCCCCCAACTTACCAATATATTAAAGGTGGGCAGGCACTGACACCAAAACAATTAGGGAGATCTGATTTAGGAGACGAGCTGACTGGCCTGTAAGAATCCCACTGAGTTTTAGAAACAAAAGGGTCTTTCATAGACTACAGCTAGCCACATGGTTCCAATCTTGGCCTATTTCTGCTGAATCGGCTGAAATTGGTGTAGTGGGTGGCCCTGTAAGCACAATCTTGCTTGACAAAAGTTGACTGGAAAATTAAAAGATCCATTTGGAAACTTCTTGGCTGAACAGTGACTCCATTCTATCAGATGCAGTCACTGTTTATGTATTCACGCAGCTGTGGGTGCTGTGGCTGTCTGAATACAATTCCTCAATTCACACTGTTTAGCATGGATAGGGGAATTGAGTGATTGTCTCTCATTCAGTCCATGTGTATGGCTGGCTTAAAGGAGAACTATGGGGTCAGGACTTTTCCCCATAGTTCTCCTAAGGGTAACGGGAGGGCACAAACTAGCGTCCTCCCATCACCCTAAGCTCAGTATACCGCAAGCTACTGCTCGCGGTATACTGAGACGCTGCAGCCAGATCCCACCATTACTGTCGAGATCCACCCAGCTTCGGGATTGACAGCTGGCTCTGCCTATCTAGAGGCAGAGCCAGCTGTTCCCGCCCCCTCCCTGTCCGTTCCGCTAGTCAGCGCTGGAGGATCGGATATGGGAGGGGGGGAAATCCCTGCGTGGAGCCGGGAGTAACAGTCACGGCTCTCTGCAGGGATAGCTCGAGAAGTGAGCGAGCAACGCTATGTGTTCGCTCACTTCCCGATCTATTGAGCCGACCTGTGACAGTTTAATTGTCACAGGTCGGCTAGAACTATGAGGCTGAGTGATTTTCACTTGCCTCATAGTTCTCCTTTAACACTGCCTAGATCAAAAGAACTGGAATTTTGTATCCATTTTCCTTTGGTCTAATAATCTTTTCACGTGTCAATTTCTCCACTTTAAGATGAATGACATTCTATGCAAAGTGCTAGTACTTTTCCTGTAAATGAAGGCATTTTTAAAAATTATTTTCTTGCACAGTAATGTATATTTCTAGGTAAATAAAAACATTACTGTTATTGGAAAGACACAGTATTACCCTATAGATTATACATAATAGTGCCAAAGGTTTGTAGATACCTGAGCATCACACGTATATGAGCTGGTTGGACATCCCATTCCAAAACTATTGACATTTATATAGAGTTGCCCCCCTTTGTAGCTATAAAAGTCTCCACTATTCTGGGAAGGCTTTCAAAAGATATTGTTTGTGGTCATTTGTGCCCATTGAGCTAAAAAAAAGAATTTGTGAGGTCATATACTGATGTTGTATAAGAAGACCAGTCAAGTTCCTCCAAGCCAAACTCATCATTCCATGTCATGGACCTGGCTTTGGGCACCTGAACTGATTCATTTTGAGGGATGTCCATATACCATTGGCCATATAATGTATATTATTCTTTTTCTACAGTTAGCTGAATTGAGGCAGATTTCTGTATATTATATTGCTAATTAACTTTCCCAAACCTTTATATCTGAAACTTCTTTTGTTTTATCTTGAGTAGAATGGTTTTCCAGGTCATCTGCTGGTTCTTCCAGTACTGGATGCACAGGCATACTCTCTGGATCGATAAGGATCTCATAAGGCACCATTGGATGCTTCCAAGAAGCCGGCGTGAACACTTCCCATGGGTCCGTCTGGCCGAATGTTCCTAGGGTATTAAAAAAGCAACTTATACCCAAGACAAACAACTATGTGGATAATAATGCTAGAGAAGAAGTATTGCCAAAAGTGGAAAATGCTGGTTAAATCCTACAGGGGACCCAGTGCACGTGGTCCAGATCAAAGCTGTGCAGTGGTTTTGGAATAATATTACAACTTTAGTTTTGTCAGTGCTGGCTGTAACACCACCCCAGGATGAAGCCCAATTTATGTGTGTTTTCACCTTCACCTAATCTTGCACCCCTGTGCCTCTTCTGCTCTCCTCTGCAACCCTCTTTGTACTAAAAAGATTTCATTGTAAAAGAACAAACAGACGCAACTGAGCTCAGACAGAGCCGCTAACTATTCAGGGAAGAGGGAGTTGAGTAATAACAGTCGACTTGTGTTGTGCATGTCAGTGGATGGAAAAGAGCTCAGTCATTCAGAAAAACACAGACACACAGCAAAACAAGCTAGATACTACACTAGTCTCACTTAGGTAAATGATTCCAGACCCAGCCACCTGCTATTACGGGGAAAGAGATTAGAGTAGTAGCTGATGGCATGTGTTGTTGTGGAGTTGTGTTTAAGTGAACGATGGCGCTCGTCTTCAGCACACATCATTCACAACAACACAAACTGTCAGTTACTACTCCAGTCTCTCTCCCCTGAATTGCTGACGACTGGAGGGCAGCTCTGGGTTCAGTCTTTTTTTCACTACAAAGAAAGTGGCAGAGGAGAGCAGAGGCCTGCAGTGTTACCCAGGAGAGCAGCAACATTCAGAGGAGATGGGGGTTATGTGGGCTCTGTGTGCACTGTATGTTACCCCCTTTACTACATTGTCAGTCAGAACTAATTAAGTATTTGTCTCCTTGTTAGCAGTATGGTTGGACAGTAGTGAGGGGAGGGTGAGAGCAATCTAACAAGACTGCTCAGCAACCACTGCTCAGATCTGAGCGGGACTAAGTGCTATGTGCATTGGGTCCCCTGGGGACTAAACAAGAATTTTCAACTTCTGGTGATACTTCTATTTTAACAATGGTTCATTTCTATACGTATAACTTTTACTAAAATGTTGTTTCATTACCAGGTGGAGATGCACATGTTTTTTTCACACATCATAGATGAGAACAGTTAGATAAAATTAGAAATATAATCCTTCATTTCAGTATTTTACAGGACTATACTGGAATGTACTATTAGTTGAATGACCTTACAGGGGGCATCTGCATATATTATGCACACTACTTCAACAGATCGCATTTTGAAGGTTTAGAACTTCTAACTTTGAGGTGTTCATTTATCTTTCAACCTATCAGCTGTTACTTTATAGCAATCAGCTGTTACTTTATAGCAAACATGAAAAGGCCGATTATAGTCCTAATTCCTGAAATTAGAAAACTGTTAGTGTCTCAGAAAAATACAACTAAATGCTGGGCTAGGAATGTAGAAAGAGCTATACACATTTGTTTGTTTTTATGTACAAAATGGAGCAATAAAATATATGTATTCATCTTACTAATAGCCTGAGTGTAGAGGATGCAGTATTACATGATTCATTTTGCATAGCAGAATATCCATGTAAATTTCTATCAATTTTGTGGAATAATGTAAATAATTATGCCTGGTAAAGTGTATCATCATCATCATTACTAATATACAGAACATGATCACGATAAGCTAGTTATAATGGAGGAGAAGGTCTAAATCAAGTCAGCTCTCCAGATATAATGTGCAAATACATAGGGACACCTACAGGGTAATGCAAATATCACTATACTCAAAGGCTTTAAATTAAAAATAAACTCTCATAGGTAGTGACCAAAGACCAGCTGGCTCTGTAAAATGATGGCTATATCTGTGCTATACTCCAGTGGTCCTGGACGCACAAATGGCTAAAAGGGGCAAAAAGGAATGATTTGCATGACTTCGCCCACTGACCAATAAGCATAGACTAAGCTCCTTGTTTTTAGATTTTGTGCTGGAAGTGAGGAGGTGTAAATACTTTCTACAGTACTTTAGAGGCAGACTTTTTGTACTGCCTTGCTGTGACCTTAATGGTTGCACTGTTGCCATAAGTAATGACCAAATATTCTCTGCTTCGCTATAAATATTTGCTCAGTCTGTTAGATAATAGCACTTAATGAAATGATTGTTTGTTCCATACAGAGTTAGACCTACAGAGGATGTTTTGTATTATCTCCTCTAGATTAATGGGGCTTCCAGAGTCACTTACAGTATATGACAAGGTCATTAGGTAATTTGGACTATTAAATCAAATTCACATTGATTAGTTAAAAGTAGATTCCCTTGTTGTGACACTGATACAAAAATTCAGTCCCTGCCAACTAAAACAGTAATTGATTGGGAGGAAAATGAGAGATACAGTAAAAACTGAAGAATTTCTCTGCTGATATGTGTATTAGAAAGGAGTGGTGACCCAGAGCAAATAATCAACCAAACGTTTAACTGACGAACCCAAACACCCACTAATTAAATCCTCCTACTCTTCCAACAAATTGAAGAAGAGCATATATGGTTATATGCTTATATGCATATATGCTTTCTTCTTCACACTGAGAAGAGGGAAGGTTTGGCCAGGTTGCGCAGAGATTATCCAGTAAGTTGATTAATTGAACTGGATAATTATGGCCAGTCTTAAAGTGGAACTACAACCTTCTATCCCTTACAGCCAAGGAAGGTGCCATCCTACCCTTTATTTGGATTGCAGTTGCCATGGTGCTTCACATGTGATCAGCTATGCCACCAGCCATGAGGGCTTGAACGTTTGGTTAAGTGCTGAAATAAGGACACTGGCAACCTTGACATTTGGCATGCCTTAAAGAAACTGTTGTGGGAGACAATACATTGGTGGGTAACGTTCTTCTTTAAGCTGACCAAATACTATACACTCTGATTGTACACCCCAGATAGCAAGGATAACTTGCCACAAACTTGTGGCAGGGTTACATTGTAATTTTTGGTAACTTGCTGCACACATTCCTGGCAAGTTGTAGACTTGCAGAACACTTGTATGATATTGTTTGAATTTGTAGCAAATTTGCTTGGCAAGTCTACAGCAAGAGTCCTGCAGGTCCTAGCAAGAGCTCTGCAAGTATACAGCACTTTTGCAAAGCACATTGATCTGGAGACTTGCCATTCAGACTTGCTGTAATTGTGCAACAAAATTGTGAAGCTTGGCAAGTCTGCAATAGTTTAGCAAGTCATTTTCAAACTTGCAGCTCAATTGCTTGCTATCTGGGACTCTCTGTACATTCTCTTTTCGATTGCCTACGTAATATGAAGATGGACCTAAACAATCCTGTCAGTTTGTATCCATTCATTCAGGCCCATGCACTGCATAGTTGATGGTAGATCTAAAAGAGTTTGTGCAACCAGATTGTCTTTTGCATTGTTGCTTTAGCCCTCGTTCACACCTGAACGTTTTGTAGCGCGTTCTACGCTCGACGAACGCTCTACAAAACGCTCAAAAATATAAATCCCATTGTAGTCAATGATCTCGTTCCCACCTTGGCATATTTCCGCCCGTCCCTAACGCGCTACAAAACGGCTCACGCCTGAAAAGGTACAGGTACTACTTTGGGCCGTTTTGTTGCGCGTTTCCATTGGGATACAGCCAAGTAGCCTTCGGAAATGCGCGACGGTCGCGTGAATCGCGGTAAAAAAAACGCGCGACAGAAGCGCATATGCAATCAGGGCAGCCAAGTGAGTTCCTGTACCCAGGGCCCCCCTCCCAGGTGTCCGCCCACCGCACAGTGTCCGCAATAACCCCCCCGCACCGCTGAGCCAGTCACACTGTTATTATTATATATATATATACCGCAATGCTGTACAGAGAACAACAAGGTTGTACAGAGTAAGGTGTCTATGGCCTAGTTGAGCCAGTCACATCAGTCTCTGTACAGAGGAGCTTACACTCTAATGTCCCCCCACAATCACACATTATGATTATACATGTATATAGCTCTGGCATATACCGCAGCACTGTACAGAGAACACTGAGCCAATCACGTCACTCAAGCTTGGAGCGGTGAAAGCAAAAAAAAAAGTGTGGTGTGCAATATAGTAAAATTATACAGCAATCAATGCAGAATGGCACTGGCTACAGAGGACTACAAATCCCAGCAATAGTACATTATAGTATCATGTTGTACTATAGCTGGCATTTGTTGTATTCCTCTATAGCTGCTGGTATTCTGCATTTCGCCGTATAATCATTATACAATGCACTGCAGAATACCATCAGCTATAGAGGAATACAAATCCCAGTAATAACACATTATATACAGTACAATGCAGAATGGCACCGGCTATAGAAGACAGCAAATCCCAGTAATACAATATACATACAGTGTACAATGTATTGCTGGGATATGTGGTCCTCTATAGCTGATGGTACATATACAGCACAATATACCATCAGCTATAGAGGAATACAACAAATCCCAGCAATACATTTTTACAGCATGTGGGGGAGGGGGGTGCAGGTAGTCTTACCTGCACACTCTTTAAGCAACTTTCTTCCGAGATCTTGGGACTGTCGGCAGCTGCCGTTCCCCCACACTGCGGTCTCCCTGCAACGACGTGATCATCTTGGCGGGCAGCGGCGGGAGAGAGCTCAGAGCTGGGAGAGGCGGGGAGCAGGTGCGGCGTAAAGCGTGCGGTGCATGTGGAGCCGCAAAACAGGGGCAACTAATCGAAAGCTAACTAAACGATGATGGAAAATGTTGACAACATTTTACATCATCGATTTTGCAGCACCGACAGTTGTTGCACAAACACTCCCCCCAGTGAACCCCCACCAAGCAGCTGGTGCCCATGGCTGAATAGGGGACCAATGCTGGACCCTAGCGTCGGGCCCCTATGAGCCTTGGGCACCAGTTGTTGCTGCTGTCCTCTGCCAATGCCCATCTCCCCAGTGGGCCCGGGCCCCCACCCCAGCATCAGCCACCCACCCCAGAGTCTGACACTACACTGCTGCTGTTCCCC